GGACTGACAATATCAAGAGGGAAAGCTAGGACTCTTGTTTCTATTTTGCCTTTATTTTCACATGCAGTGTATATCGATAAAGCAAAATAACGAACATGAACGGATTTCTTGCAAGATTAATTTTCTTACCGCTAGATAGAGACAATGGGTTGTCTAGTGATAAAAAAATCTAGTAAAAAATTCCCTTTTATGTATAGAATTACTCTTTTGGTAGTATCTGTACACACGTTGTATTGCATCATCTTACTGTTGTTGACTGGAAATCATTGAAAACACAGGTACCATATCTAAGCGCTTCATTTGGAGTCATCTATGTCCTTGTCAAACCTGCTGTAAGTACTAGTCTCCCATGAATATATATACATTTTGTCCGACGATAATGTTTGGAAAAATCTATATTATTCACCATAGTCAATTTTAATGTTCATTCTTTTTCTTTTTCCCATTTAATTTTTCTGATTTGACAGACTTATGCTATTATATCAAGAGCATCAAGTTCAGCTGATCAGGTTTGTGGAGTAATATGGTGTCTTTAAATTGATTCAACAATTATTAAATAGTTTGCCAACAGCTGAAAAGCCAAGGCAAAACTCCACTGTTAATAATTGAGAATTTAACTTCTCTTGAATCGTGAGGCATTGTTTGGATCTTGCATTTGTGGACGGAAAATAAGTTGCTGTAAATTCTTTAAATCCAAATAAACTCCTCTTTCCAATTTTAGTTTGTTTGTCCTTGCTTGACTTTTGTGTTTTATTAAACAAATTTCCATTTTTACCATCTTTGAGCACTTGTATCGCCTTCTAAGTTCAATTCAATCACAGGGAAAAGCACAAGCATTTATCGCTGGTGTGCAATCAATTGCAGATTTGTTATCACCACTTGCAATGAGTCCACTGACCTGTGAGTTTTGAGTATTTTGTTTCTGTCTATTTGAACAACAAAATTGTTTCTTTTAATTTGCTTAACCGTGTGTGACTTTCTTGTTTTCCCCCAGCTTGGTTTTTGTCCAGCGATGCGCCTTTCAACTGCAAAGGTTTCAGTATTGTCTTGGCATCTTCATGCATGGTAAATCCCCTCTCTCTCTCTCTCTCTCTCTCTCTCCTGCAAATATTCATGGGAAATTTTTTGAGAAGCCCGACAATGCGATCCCACCTGAAAAATGAAAATGCCATTATTCTTGTTATCTGTTGATAATGTGCCAAATTTTTGCTAAAATGGTTTTATATCATAAAACTCCTGTTTTGTTTTTGTTTTATTTTTTTTACTGAATACTTTGCAAATTGATGTATATGACTGAAAAATTATGGTGACTTGCAATTGTTATTCAAGTTCCTTTGCTACCTCCGCAGTACTACCTGAAGGCAGCCTTTGGTTTCAACAAAAATCAATTTTCAGAAATTCTGATGATGGTGGGAATAGGATCAATTGTTTCCCAGGTATTCTTTCTAAAGATCATTTTCTTTTCTTTTGTTACTTTAACAGAAGGAGTCCATTAACTCTACTTCTTGAAATGTTCTTTAAATCTAGAGTTTCTCTACTCACCATATGTTTCTTATCATGGCATTGTTTCAAGATTCTGATTCTTCCTCTCATCAATCCATTAGTTGGAGAGAAAGTGATACTTTGCACAGCCTTACTTTCATCAATTGCTTATGTGAGTTGTCCTTTATTTACTTAATTTAAGCCATTGCAGCTCTGGACTTAATCATAGTTGAAAGTATGTATAAATTTTATCTCATGGAAGTGTTTTTATTTTTTTATTTTTTTAATGCACAGGCATTGTTTTATGGCTTGGCATGGGCTTCTTGGGTATGTACTCTTATATACTTAAATAAATGTGTAGTTAACATCAGTTTTGAAACTACATTCTGGGTAATTACATGTTCCACCGTTAAACTTCCTCCTAAAATTTCACGTTAGTCTCTCATTTTTAGTTGAGACAACCTATATCATTATTGTAATTTAGGTTCTAATTTCTTGCAAAAAATACAAGAAAATTTTCTCGTGAAAGTTGCTATGTGTTATAACTTTCTCTCAGAAAAATTATCTTAACCAAACGCATACTAAAAAAATAAAATTTCATTTCACTTTCACTTTCCATCACATTTTTCTATCTAATCAAACGGATTGACACTATCAAGAGAAAAAGCCAGGACTGTTGTTTCTATTTTGCTTTTATTTCCACATGCAGTGTATATCGATAAAGCAAAATAACGAACATGAACGGATTTCTTGCAAGATTAATTTTCTTACCGCTAGATAGAGACAATGGGTTGTCTAGTGATAAAAAAATCTAGTAAAAAATTCCCTTTATGTATAGAATTACTCTTTTGGTAGTATCTGTACACACGTTGTATTGCATCATCTTACTGTTGTTGACTGGAAATCATTGAAAACACAGGTACCATATCTAAGCGCTTCATTTGGAGTCATCTATGTCCTTGTCAAACCTGCTGTAAGTACTAGTCTCCCATGAATATATATACATTTTGTCCGTATTTTTTTAATCCTCCTAATAATGCTTCTTATTTCAGGTTTCAAATGCTCTGTTAGTCTTTTGTCCGATTTACATGCACCTGTTTCTGGTTGAGACAGTCCAATCAACTCCAAGACATCGCCAACATGCTCCTTGGTTGCACAAGGCACTGAAGATTGTCAAGGAACGATACAATTCAATGAGGCATGCAGCAACTATTGTTGTAAGCAGGTGCTTTTATCTGCAAACCATCAGTGATGCTTTTAGTGCCCATTCCCAACTAAATTTTGCCAGATCTTTGTATATATTTCTGTTCTTCCCTTAAAGCTTCAGTATAAACATCACTAATGTGGTCCATTTTACTCTGCAGTCCAACGCTCAAGGGTATGTCACTGGTTTCCTTCTTTTATGAGTTGGGAATGTCCGGCATCAGCGGTGTCTTACTGGTACTCATTGATGAAGCCAGATGCAGATAAATATATATATATATATATATATATATATGTATATCAAAATAATAATTATGGGATCCACTGACAAGGAGAAGAGTTTTGTTTCTTTTGAAAAGGAAAGAAGTTGATTCTTTTATCTTCAAAACTGCTTTCTCTTTTTGCAAATCGTTTTGACAAAATTGTTGCATGGAAAATTATGTGAACAAGTCTGAAAAATGAAAATGCCATTATTCTTGTTATCTGTTGATAATGTGCCAAATTTTTGCTAAAATGGTTTTATATCATAAAACTCCTGTTTTGTTTTTGTTTTATTTTTTTTACTGAATACTTTGCAAATTGATGTATATGACTGAAAAATTATGGTGACTTGCAATTGTTATTCAAGTTCCTTTGCTACCTCCGCAGTACTACCTGAAGGCAGCCTTTGGTTTCAACAAAAATCAATTTTCAGAAATTCTGATGATGGTGGGAATAGGATCAATTGTTTCCCAGGTATTCTTTCTAAAGATCATTTTCTTTTCTTTTGTTACTTTAACAGAAGGAGTCCATTAACTCTACTTCTTGAAATGTTCTTTAAATCTAGAGTTTCTCTACTCACCATATGTTTCTTATCATGGCATTGTTTCAAGATTCTGATTCTTCCTCTCATCAATCCATTAGTTGGAGAGAAAGTGATACTTTGCACAGCCTTACTTTCATCAATTGCTTATGTGAGTTGTCCTTTATTTACTTAATTTAAGCCATTGCAGCTCTGGACTTAATCATAGTTGAAAGTATGTATAAATTTTATCTCATGGAAGTGTTTTTATTTTTTTATTTTTTTAATGCACAGGCATTGTTTTATGGCTTGGCATGGGCTTCTTGGGTATGTACTCTTATATACTTAAATAAATGTGTAGTTAACATCAGTTTTGAAACTACATTCTGGGTAATTACATGTTCCACCGTTAAACTTCCTCCTAAAATTTCACGTTAGTCTCTCATTTTTAGTTGAGACAACCTATATCATTATTGTAATTTAGGTTCTAATTTCTTGCAAAAAATACAAGAAAATTTTCTCGTGAAAGTTGCTATGTGTTATAACTTTCTCTCAGAAAAATTATCTTAACCAAACGCATACTAAAAAAATAAAATTTCATTTCACTTTCACTTTCCATCACATTTTTTTATCTAATCAAACGGACTGACAATATCAACAGAGAAAGCTAGGACTCTTGTTTCTATTTTGCCTTTATTTCCACATGTAGTGTATATCGATAAAGGAAAATAACGTGCATGAACGGATTTCTTGCAAGATTAATTTTCTTACCGCTAGATAGAGACAATGGGTTGTCTAGTGATAAAAAAATCTAGTAAAAAATTCCCTTTATGTATAGAATTACTCTTTTGGTAGTATCTGTACACACGTTGTATTGCATCATCTTACTGTTGTTGACTGGAAATCATTGAAAACACAGGTACCATATCTAAGCGCTTCATTTGGAGTCATCTATGTCCTTGTCAAACCTGCTGTAAGTACTAGTCTCCCATGAATATATATACATTTTGTCCGTATTTTTTTAATCCTCCTAATAATGCTTCTTATTTCAGGTTTCAAATGCTCTGTTAGTCTTTTGTCCGATTTACATGCACCTGTTTCTGGTTGAGACAGTCCAATCAACTCCAAGACATCGCCAACATGCTCCTTGGTTGCACAAGGCACTGAAGATTGTCAAGGAACGATACAATTCAATGAGGCATGCAGCAACTATTGTTGTAAGCAGGTGCTTTTATCTGCAAACCATCAGTGATGCTTTTAGTGCCCATTCCCAACTAAATTTTGCCAGATCTTTGTATATATTTCTGTTCTTCCCTTAAAGCTTCAGTATAAACATCACTAATGTGGTCCATTTTACTCTGCAGTCCAACGCTCAAGGGTATGTCACTGGTTTCCTTCTTTTATGAGTTGGGAATGTCCGGCATCAGCGGTGTCTTACTGGTACTCATTGATGAAGCCAGATGCAGATAAATATATATATATATATATATATATATATGTATATCAAAATAATAATTATGGGATCCACTGACAAGGAGAAGAGTTTTGTTTCATTTGAAAAGGAAAGAAGTTGATTCTTTTATCTTCAAAACTGCTTTCTCTTTTTGCAAATCGTTTTGACAAAATTGTTGCATGGAAAATTATGTGAACAAGTCTGAAAAATGAAAATGCCATTATTCTTGTTATCTGTTGATAATGGGCCAAATTTTTGCTAAAATGATTTTATATCTTAAAACTCTTGTTTTGTTTTTGTTTTTGGTTTTGGTTTTTTTACTGAATACTTTGCAAATTGATGTATATGACTGAAAAATTATGGTGACTTGCAATTGTTATTCAAGTTCCTTTGCTACCTCCGCAGTACTACCTGAAGGCAGCCTTTGGTTTCAACAAAAATCAATTTTCAGAAATTCTGATGATGGTGGGAATAGGATCAATTGTTTCCCAGGTATTCTTTCTAAAGATCATTTTCTTTTCTTTTGTTACTTTAACAGAAGGAGTCCATTAACTCTACTTCTTGAAATGTTCTTTAAATCTAGAGTTTCTCTACTCACCATATGTTTCTTATCATGGCATTGTTTCAAGATTCTGATTCTTCCTCTCGTCAATCCATTAGTTGGAGAGAAAGTGATACTTTGCACAGCCTTACTTTCATCAATTGCTTATGTGAGTTGTCCTTTATTTACTTAATTTAAGCCATTGCAGCTCTGGACTTAATCATAGTTGAAAGTATGTATAAATTTTATCTCATGGAAGTGTTTTTATTTTTTTATTTTTTTAATGCACAGGCATTGTTTTATGGCTTGGCATGGGCTTCTTGGGTATGTACTCTTATATACTTAAATAAATGTGTAGTTAACATCAGTTTTGAAACTACATTCTGGGTAATTACATGTTCCACCGTTAAACTTCCTCCTAAAATTTCACGTTAGTCTCTCATTTTTAGTTGAGACAACCTATATCATTATTGTAATTTAGGTTCTAATTTCTTGCAAAAAATACAAGAAAATTTTCTCGTGAAAGTTGCTATGTGTTATAACTTTCTCTCAGAAAAATTATCTTAACCAAACGCATACTAAAAAAATAAATTTTCATTTCACTTTCACTTTCCATCACATTTTTTTATCTAATCAAACGGACTGACAATATCAACAGAGAAAGCTAGGACTCTTGTTTCTATTTTGCCTTTATTTTCACATGCAGTGTATATCGATAAAGCAAAATAACGAGCATGAACGGATTTCTTGCAAGATTAATTTTCTTACCGCTAGATAGAGACAATGGGTTGTCTAGTGATAAAAAAATCTAGTAAAAAATTCCCTTTTATGTATAGAATTACTCTTTTGGTAGTATCTGTACACACGTTGTATTGCATCATCTTACTGTTGTTGACTGGAAATCATTGAAAACACAGGTACCATATCTAAGCGCTTCATTTGGAGTCATCTATGTCCTTGTCAAACCTGCTGTAAGTACTAGTCTCCCATGAATATATATACATTTTGTCCGACGATAATGTTTGGAAAAATCTATATTATTCACCATAGTCAATTTTAATGTTCATTCTTTTTCTTTTTCCCATTTAATTTTTCTGATTTGACAGACTTATGCTATTATATCAAGAGCATCAAGTTCAGCTGATCAGGTTTGTGGAGTAATATGGTGTCTTTAAATTGATTCAACAATTATTAAATAGTTTGCCAACAGCTGAAAAGCCAAGGCAAAACTCCACTGTTAATAATTGAGAATTTAACTTCTCTTGAATCGTGAGGCATTGTTTGGATCTTGCATTTGTGGACGGAAAATAAGTTGCTGTAAATTCTTTAAATCCAAATAAACTCCTCTTTCCAATTTTAGTTTGTTTGTCCTTGCTTGACTTTTGTGTTTTATTAAACAAATTTCCATTTTTACCATCTTTGAGCACTTGTATCGCCTTCTAAGTTCAATTCAATCACAGGGAAAAGCACAAGCATTTATCGCTGGTGTGCAATCAATTGCAGATTTGTTATCACCATTTGCAATGAGTCCACTGACCTGTGAGTTTTGAGTATTTTGTTTGTGTCTATTTGAACAACAAAATTGTTTCTTTTAATTTGCTTAACCGTGTGTGACTTTCTTGTTTTCCCCCAGCTTTATTTTTGTCCAGCGATGCACCTTTCAACTGCAAAGGTTTCAGTATTGTCTTGGCATCTTCATGCATGGTAAATCCCCTCTCTCTCTCTCTCTCTCTCTCTCTCTCTCCTGCAAATATTCATGGGAAATTTTTTGAGAACCCCGACAATGCGATCCCACAAAAAGATTCCTTAACAAAAATCTCACACGGCACCCAATGATCGTAATACCCTTATTTTGTTAAAACATGAATTGTGTGCATAATAGGCGAAGTGAGACGATTACTTTTTTTTTAATTTTATACTTTGTTCAAAATTTTAAATTTTCATAACTTTCTTTCCATGCATCAATTTTTTGTTACATTTTTTTTCTGGTAACCTATTCTAGGAGATGTATCAAACAAGATTTTTACATTCCATATGAGATTTTGTTAAAACAAAAGCAAGAATTTTCTCACTTTTAAGGAAAAGAATAAAAATTCACAAAAACTAAGAAATTTCTCAAATTTTGAAACAAAGAAAAATTGTGAAATTTCTCACTTTTGAAAAAATGGCGATGCTGAGTGCTTAAATGAGGGCAACTCAATTCGAAAATTTTAAGAAGGTACTTAAGCTACCAATAAATCGAAGTCAATGGGATCTCACGAGCCATTATTGAATTGCAAATGTTCAATTATTTCAGGTGATATCTCTATGTTGCGCTTGCTTGCTAAAGCATGAAAAGCCATCAAAGAATATCTTGGTAGACGATGGAGAAAATATCGAAGCACCACTTCTATCAAAAAATTAACTTTTGATGTTGGTATGATTGGCAGTTATTTATGTATGTATCCTTCTTCTAGGTTGATCATAGTGTGTAAATTTTGGTGTTCATAATTGTATCTAATGAATGTAAATCTATTAAACATAAAACTGTGCCATAGCCAATGGCTTTTCCACTAATGAAGAATGATAATCAAATCTTTCTTAAATGTGTACTCCAATTTTATAGGTCCTCGAGATTTTATTTGCCTTTGTTGCTCTTTGATAGCACAATATTTGTGCTAGATTGATCCCAAGGATCACAAAATGGCTGGGTGAGTGCTGCATTTCCGGCAATCGGACATAGTTTATTAGTCCCTTATAGAAAAAATAAATTGTGATCAGGATTTGATATGTATGTCAAATTCATTTTGGATGTGATTTACACTGCACTAAGTTTAAATCTAAATCATAAATTCAGATTTTGGACATTTAGCTTTTGTTTGTTATAAGCCAAAATAGGGTGTTTTTGCTAAAATAATTACAAAAAGACAAAATAAATTTTTTAACCCAATAAGATAAAGCGTCACATCTAAATAATAATCATTTTATTTCATCTCTTACAAATATCAAAAAAGTTAAAAAAATTATTCTAAAAGAGATTTTTTTATCTTAAATTAAAATCGTTAAAAAATCAAAATACGAACCTCCATCTCAAATGAATTCTTATTTTTATATATATATATATATATATATATATATTTTTAAAGTACATAAACATATTCCATCATTAGTAATAATTGTGTTTTCTGAACTTCTCCTAACACTACAAGTTAGTACATAAAGGCGAGGCCCGAATTCGCTAAAATCATGATGTTGAGTCAACTCCGAAGTAAAGATTCCATTAGGTCATGTGTGCTTTCATGATTGAGCAATGGTAGAGGGCCACAAAAAGTATGGTTCAAATGGCTCAAAACTGTTAAAACGACGTCGTTTTGAGCGTAAAACGACGCAAAATGACGTCGTTTTGACAGTTTTGAGCCATTTGAGCCACATTTTTTGTGGCCCTCAAACATTTTTCTTCATGATTTATACAAAATGATTCTTATCTCACACAATTAAATTGGATAATCATCGCAAAAAAAGTGATTTAGGCCAAGTTTGGCATATACATAATAGTTTATCGTTTTATTTTTTTATTTTTTTTATCACATTACCTTTTTATTTTTCTGTACATCTTTTCATAAAAAGATAAAAAATGTACTTGTTTAGGTCATCTAAAACAACTCCTTAGTGATTTAGTGATAGTTTGGGGTGTCCTAAATAAGTGCACTTTTTAACTTTTTAGACTAAAAAGTTGAGGAAAAAAATATGGTTGTTTAGGTTAACTTTTTAATTTTTTATGAAAAAATATGTATTAAAAAATTATATAAATTAGTGTGTAGGAGAATATTAAGAGTGTGAGTTGTACGGCCGTACTATCTGCTTAGCTGAATTGATGTTAAGAAATGATTGGCTACTTTTCGGGCATTGTATTGGACGGTGCTGTTCAGCCTGTGGGGGCCATCACGGGTCCCGTTTTGATAATCTGAACCGTTCAATGTGTAAAACTCGCCGAGTACTATATGTTTGTCGAAAATTACGTTGATCGGATATCGATAGTTGTTTGATTAGATTAGTTTTTTTTTCAACCGTTAACTATAACACCATTTTTTTTATACAAAACTAATTTGATCATGTAGTTAGCGATATCCGATCAATGTAATTTTTTACAGACATATAGCAATCGATGTATTTTACACATTAACGATTCAGATTATCAAAACGAGACCCGTGATGAACCCCCACGGGCTAAACAACAGTGTTAAAATTGCACCAAAACTATGCAATTTTTCTAAAAAAACGCAGCCACATATCTGAACCGGTCAGATCTGTCTTGTAATTTTGTGTGTAACATTAATTTTTTAAAATATTTTTTATAAATAGTGATAACTTTTTAATTTTTTAAATAATTTTTTAACTTTTTATCTTTGTCTTGACATGTCAAACTAGGCCTTACTACTGTAAATTTTTTCTTTTAAAAGCTAATATAACATAGAAGCGCTTGTTATGCTATTTTTGTTTATAAAATTAATTAATTAAATTAGTTGTCTTGTGTGGATCAATATAAAATCTACTCTACAAGTAATTCCATGATTTAGAATCTCGTGGGACATGAAACCAACTTTTTAGATGTTTTTAAAAATTATTTTTCGTCTTTATTTGTCATTTTTAATTAACATTTTTAAATAAAACATTTTAAGATTTAATAAAAGCTGGTTCCAAGCAATCCTTTGCTTTTTAGGATTTAAGTCCTTTCCTTTTCTCTGTCTCTCCATTTTTGGTAGAAAGAAAATATCACAACCTTTATGATAATGTGAAAGTATTTGAAAACCTTCATTCCAAAGATTTTAGCCCTATTTGATTTGTGTTTTGAGATATTATTTTAAAAATAATTTTTTGAAGAGAGTTTAGAAAATTTAAAATTTTGTTTGGTTGTATATTTTGAAAATTTAAAAATAATATTTTAGCCTTATTTGAATTTTTTTTTTTTAAGTTGAATAGATGGATGTGAGGGAAAAAGTGATAGAGAATGAGAGAAGAGACAGAAAAAGTAATTGATGATGTGTAGCAGAGTGATTTTGAATTTTTTTTTTTTTTGAATTTTTTCTCAACAAAACATGTTTTTGAAATTTTTTATTCACAAACATGTTTTGAGAGACAAAACCAAACATATGCTCAGGGATAGACCTAGAGGGGACAACAGGGGGCGATTGCCCCTATATGATTTCAAAAATTCCATTTATTATAGTAGTACTTATTACAGTTCTCCACATATTATAAAGACTCACTCCTTATTTGTTTTTTGTTTATTTATTTACAAATTTTAAGTGTTTATCACTCTATCACTCTATATGTATGAAATATAGGATCAAAATATAACATTAAAAAAATGGACAAGATTTTATAAAAGAAATTAATTTCTTATAACTAGTGTTAATTAGAATTCCTAGTTTGTAAAGTAAAAGGTATCAGTTAAATACTTAATTACGTTCATTGAGAAATATCAAAGATATTTTTAACAAATAAAATTATTGAAAAATCCAATCTAAAGAGGGTATAAGCCATTAGGTCTAGTAAGTATTTTTTGTTGGTGAAAAGTCCACCCTTTGTGAAATAGTTTGGTGAGAAGTCATTTTAGTTGTTTTGAAAGACATTTTGGTTCCAATTTTATCCCTTAATTTATCTATTGACTTTTTTTTTTTATCTATTCAATTTTTTTGATTATCTATTTAAATTTATATCTATTTGTCCAAATTATTTTCTATCTGGTCAAATTAATTTTTTTGTCTATTTAATTTTTTAATTATCTATTCAAATATTTTTCCTTATCTATTCAATTTTTTTTATCTGTTTAATTTTTTTTTTTATCTATTTAATTTTTTAATCTTTCCAATTCAAATTTCCCTTATCTATTTAAATATTTTTTATTTTATTGAAATACGAAGTTATCTATTAAAATTCAAATAGTGATCTATTGAAATACCAAGCCAATTTTTCATGTTTGTCTATTTCTTATCTGTTTGATATTTTTATCTGTTAAAATAGCAATTCAATTTTTTTATCTATTGAAACAGATCTGATTTGTTCAATTTCTTTAATCTATGCATGTCAATTTATGAAATCTCAATCGTTATGGATCCTGATGTTATTGAATGAATTGCAAAAATAAACATCACACACACACACACGCACACACACACACACCAGTTCTTTTACCACTAACACAATAGATAAATATAGTTAATGAAATAAAAATAATTAAAAC